AGGAGATGGGATATTAGCCTGGGGACTTGTGTGTCCCCAGGCTCCGAAAAGGTGGTGCAGTAAAAGTATTATCTGCTCCGAAAGGGTGGTGCAGTAAAAGTATTTTTATGAGGTGGCTGTACATTCTTGTTTTCTGGTCATTCTTTGTGGGACGATTGATACTGCTGCAATCGCTTAAATAAGGCCATTACTGTCTGTCCCTCAGCAGTATTTCCACACAGGGACTGCATTTTGATGGCCAAACCCTCTCACTGCTGCCCATCAGTCTGGTCTGTAAGAAGCTGTGTCTTGCCTTCATGCTTAAGTGAGCATGTAGTTAGGATTCATCTCTGCAGCATCTGAAGGCCACAGCCTTGACCAAAGAATTACTGTTACCCAGCTAGAATTGCATTTGGATAATATAAAGTTGGTGTGTAAGGGAGGAAAGGAACATATTCTTTGTTTATTGTGTTTTTTAAGGGCATTGAGTTTGAATGTTCAAAGAAAAGTTCTTTTGCTTAAGTCGTGTTTGGATCTGATTAAACAACATCACAGAAAAACTTGTAGTCACAAGGTCACCTGTATTTCTTTAATAATTAAGCCCTTTGTGATATGTTCCTTCATCTGAGTTATAAGAATTTCCACACCATTTGTTTAGAGATCACAATCCCTTGCAGTAAAGGAAAAGGAAGTAGTGAACAGCCAACTGCTGTGTCAGTTAACACTGTTTTAAAATTAGACCTTTCAGAGGAATTATGTTAGAAGTAGAATTAATTCCAGTCAGAATGTCTTCAAGGCAATTTAATCACTTTTAAAATACTATGGTATAGAGGAAAGACATGTTTATTCAGCTGAACTAATGCATTTCCCCTCTTCTGACATTTAAAACATTTTATGTAGGTTAATTAGTCTAATCTATGGTAGTTGCGAGCAACCCTTATATGTAACCAGTGAATGTCAGGACAGTTCACAAGTACAAGTTACTGATTCTGAAGAGTTTGTGCTTGAGGAGAACATTAAGATGCTGGGGTCTTACGTAATGTAACAGCTCTGCTTTAACAAAAATAAAAATATCTTGGCTCGTGCAGTTTAAACATCTTCACTATGGGAAATAGCATGTTTGTGTATAATTAAAATTACAGAGCTTTAATGTAGAAAATGTCTCCAGGTCAGTTTATTGTGTGTAATAGTTCTGGCTGTAAAATCTCTCTTGTTAAGATTTTTTCTTTTCTATTAAACAATGCTGCAGTCATGGAAGTCTTACAATGGACTCTAAATATTTATGCAGCACAAGGAGAAGTTCCTCACAGCTCTTGAGGAGCGGTTCCAGAGGAGCCCTTGCCAGAGAGTCCCAGGAGTAACTGCACTTTGTCCTGATACACAGCGATCTAGTGCCTCACCCCCAGCTGTGCAATGGCAGCCCTTCTGTTCGGACACTGGGGCACAGTTGCTTTCAGTTTGTCGTTGCTCAACTGATGTTTTGAGAAACAGAGCTCTTGGCTGTATTTGAACTATTTTATAGGAAACAAACTGATATATGGACATTTCTGGATTTACCATTAAATGGCAGTATGCTTGGGGTACTGGGGAGTCATTAATCACTGGAATGAGGTAGGCAAAAAACTCTATTCACTCCATCAGATATACTGGGGTTTTTACTGGTCATCATTGTAACATTCGGGCTGAGCTTGGGCCCAGTGCGTTCCTTCTGTCCCGAGTGTGTGGGAAGAGCAATATTGTCTTTGTCGGTCAATCCTGGCTTGTGTTCTGCTTTTTTTTTTTTAATCTTAGAGCTTTAAGTGTTTAGACATGTTTCAGGCAAGACTTTTTGCATTTGTAAGCTGCTCTGAGTTTGTCTCATTTCTAAGGAAATAAAAATAGAGACCAATACATAAATATAGGATTGAGATCAACTCCACTTAATCCCGGGAGCATTGTTTTAACAGTCAGAAGTGTGTGAATAGAGAAGGTGGTGTGGAAGGGGAGCTCTGAGGTTTTTACTGAACTTGCTTTGGTAGCTCCAGCTTTCAAAATAGCTGTCCCTTACTGATGAGGCAGAGAGAGCGGGGTGGTCTTGCCTGGGGTCGGTGGTTCCCTCTCCCACCCAGTATGAATAAGTAAAGTGGATTAAAAACGGCACACAATGCGATTCATCGTTAGACCCTGATGCTGCTCTGGATAGACTTTCGGAGAAGCAAAGCCTGTGTCAGTCAAATGTTAACTCCTGGATTTTGATCTTTCTTGGGCCATAAATTCAATGGTCACTAAATAAGATTGGATAGTTGTGATAATTGTTGGACTTTGTGATTGATTCATGTCTGTTGCCTCTCTGCTTGCATAAACTCATGTTTTCTGACTTGGTCATAAGTCTTCAGCAGTATCACTTGAATGTTGACCTGACCAGGGTGGTGCTGGTATTAATGGTATAATGGTATTCGTGCAGAGGAGATCTTGGAGAGCTGTCGAGATGCTTTTCTGTGTGTGCTTGAAGCATGTTTAGTTTACTGAATGCACAGCCCACAAGAGAATAATTCTGAATAATCACAAACTTGGGGGGCTTTTTGCTATGGGAAAAGTTGTCAACTTTCCTGCCTGTGCTGGGGAGGGGACGTGCTGCATGTACAGACTTGCTCTGAAAGGAAAGTCTTTGCTCTGTTAAAATGTCGTGTGCAAAGAGGCAGGCAGCCAGCGCTCACCCTGGCATTGCAGAGAGCAGAACTGGGCCAAGGTTTGAATGAATCATGAGGGAGTTTAGAGAAATCTGCTTTATTTTTCATGATAAACCTGCCAAAATCCTTCAGTGGGAATGCAGTTGATGGTAACATTGCAGCCTTGTCTGAGGGTTAACTTTGTGCCTCTAGTGCTGCTTACATCACATCTAGAAAGAACTCACAGATAAAGAACTGCATCGTTTGCAATTAATCCTACTGCATTTTGAATGGGATCAGCTTTGAATGAAGCTCTTGAAGTAAACTTGTCACAGGGGTCACGGAATTAAACTTGTACTGATTGTCATGCCCATATCTTATTGTTGGCTGTCAATTTTGTTTGGTTTGGATATTTTGCATCTTATGATAAGCTAAAAATGGATGTTTGGATACATAACTTGTGAGTAACTTGGCTGCTGGCTAGATCTTTGCCCGCACCCACGGTCCTTCGACAGGCATTTTTTTCTTTCCAATGCTTTGTACCCATCTTTTCCTTGTGTGCATCTCCTGTTCATCAGAGTGCTTCACCGCCGATTGTTAACTGTGCCCAGATCTTCTCTCTCTCTCATGCCAGCAGCAGCCTCCACACTGTGTCCAGCTCTTCAGTGTTTTGCAGTGTCTTGCACAGAAAATAACCAGATGTGCTCAGTTGATTATAGGGCTGGGGGTCTCACCTGTGTGCTCTGCACAATGCAAAGCGTAATCCAGTGCTTAGCAAGAAATAAGCACTGGTAAATCCATATATCTGGATGTCTCACATCCAGATCCTGGCTTCTGCTCAGTTCCTTACGGGCTGTGCAACACTAGAAGAAACTGGCTGATTTTCCTTGGGGAGGAATCCTACACAGAAATAGAGCTGGCAGCCTTCAGCCCCCTCCCACCCCAGTATAGGTCAGAGGTGCGCCTGGGACACTCTCCACCTGGCAGAAAGCTGAGGGGCTTGAACTTCTGCAGATCTTTGTGTAAAGCTAGTGAAGCGGAGCGGGGCTTGAGCAGGACAGGGAAGCTGTACAAGTGCAGTCAGTGGGGTGGTGGTTGGGGAGGAACAGTGTCTAGGTACGAGTTAGGGGCTGGGATACAAAGCCAGAAATTATGGCAGTGTGAGGGTTTAGGTGTCTGCGAACAGAAGGATGTCTTTGCTTCTGAATTTGTCTCTGACTTAGAGCCAGCTTCTGTTACATGGCACTCTTGACTCCTCTCTTCCCTGAATTTTTTAGTATCCAAAGATCCTATGTTTTTTTAACAAAACAAAACAAAACAAAAAAGTCAGTCAAGCCAACCTTGCCATGTTACCTTCCAGGCAGGCTTTCCCCCCGATGTGACAGCTACCTCTGCCTCGTCTAGTCAAGGGTTCATTGAGACCTCTGCTGCGCTGAAGCGTGGTTGTGATAGCTTAGTGCTGCTGTTTGTGCTGCAGCCCCGGAGTGGGCACCCTCATGTATTGGCTGCTGGGCTACCTCACAAACAGATGACCAGCTTTCTTTCTGGCTCTGTCACCCAGTGGTGCCGTGTCATGCGTCAGCCCTTTAACCTCTCACTTGCCTGTCTTGTTGCGTCTCTTTGCAGGATGGGAGGTAGGAACTGTGTTTGCCCATCATTATTAAATGCGGGATTGGAAGTACTGTGTAAACGCAGAGGGCATTGAGCAGCCGTCAAGTACCAACAGCTTTTGGTCACTGTTGACTTGGGCTGAATTCAGCCCGATGACCTAGACGCAAGAGGCCACGTATCCTGTTACTGAACCCTTCAGCCATCTTGTCACTCATCTATAAATACATGAGGTGTACAAGGGTGAAGTGGAGTTTGGGGCATTTTAGTTTCATATGTGTGTTTAGAGAAGTTCTCTCACTAACTGGTATGTTTGGTAGGACAGACTGTGGGCTGACATGCTGTTTTTTTCCTTTTTAGTTTGCAGTGTTGATGTGGGTATTCACTTATGTTGGTGCCTTGTTTAATGGTCTGACATTACTGATTCTGGGTAAGTGTTTTAAATTGTGTTAAATACCTGGCATACAAAGTAACACTGGAAAAGTACTGAAGTCTGCTTGGTACTGCGAGGCTATTCCTGTGTTCTTGGGAGTGTAGTCGGATGTTACAGTTGTGTGTCTTTTTCTGGGACACTGGTAACACTGCAGAATATATAATTTTGAATTGCAGTGTGGAATTCCTTGAGATTGCTGCTTTTCCAGACATTGTGTCATTTAAAAGCAGGATCTGTTGTGCTTGTCCCTGTCAGGGTTAGCCTCCGTGAATATCATCGCTGTATTGTGGCTTTGGAGGAGGTACAAAATTGTCTCTGGCCATGTCCCCCTGCAGGTAGTTTGTTTCTGTATCCCAGAGCAGGCTGGCTTCAGGTGTCAGAAACCAAGCAGAAGCCTAAGCGTCATTTTTGAAGTATTTGCATAACCCACAGTGGAAAAAGTGAATTTGTGACCAAACTTACTGTACTGTTAATGAGACCTGGCAAACAGCCCAGCTTCTCCTTAATAGGGATTATTTAAATTACTGGCCAACAATTTTTTGTATGGGGCTTAGTTATTTCTTTTTCTTGTACCATTTTAAAAGAAATGTCAAGGTGTGAAAACTAGTAGTTTTCTACCTGAACATCATCCCTTTTGTCAATATTTATACCTTTGATGTGCTCTTTTTCAGCTTTGATTTCGCTCTTCAGTGTTCCTGTTATTTATGAGAGACATCAGGTGAGTGTTTGATACAATCTATTAAATGCTTCATAAAATTAGCTCTATTGAAGCAAAACCACAAGCAAATACAAGCAAAATTCATTTCAGTCTTCTAAAATCTTTAAAGCCTTTAAAAAATAGGCCTTTAACCAGGAGTTAGCGCCAGGGCCAAGAGAAGCAAGTCCACTTTGAAGTCCAGTCTGCGTGAGCTTTCCCCTCCTCCTCTTTGGTGGCGGTGTCAGAAGACTTCCCCAGCAAACAGATGCAAAAAAGGCCTGATTAACCTGGAGGCCTTCTCTCCTCTGATCCAGATTTGGTCAGGACTAAAGCAGCAGTAGGCATGGTGTGTTAATCCTGATGTAAGGACTTCTAAAACAATTTCTGAAGAAAGCTCTTTGGAGCTGATATTCAGGATTCATGTCCTGAAGCTCTGCGGAATTTGTAGCCCTGGCATAAACAGGAGGTGGGAGACGCTCAACACAGTCTGGTGCCTCTCCTGTGGAGTGACTAATGTAAAAGCAAGAGGTAAGAGGGAGCCAAAACAAAATGCGTATGATTAAATTATAGCTGAGCTGGAGCAGGGACTGTCTACAGCAGGTCATAGCGCAGGAGGGGGGAAGCCAGCTCTGGCTTAGCAGTTCCTTCTCCTCTTTCAAAAACAACCCTGCTCATGGAGGACTTGGGAAGGGAGGGTGGAAAGCACTGAGCAGATGGCGGAGCCTCTTGGGCTCCTCTCCGAGCTCCTAGGAAAGAACAAAGTATACTGCAGTGAAAGGAAATCCTGTAGCCCCGCGGAAAGATGATGGACAATTTGCATGGCTTAACCCGGGCTCCTCAATCCTCTTGAGGAGCTGAAGGCTGCTCTCCGAAGGCGTAAGCTGTTTAACAGGCCCAGCCCACCTAAGAAGCTTTCCTTCTCCCCGGTGCCCAAGAGCTCACTGCCCCTCACCAAGGGCCTGGGTTATGCGCCATGGCGCTGGGGCAGCCTTGGGAAGAGTCAGGGGGAATGCTAGCCACCGGCTTGATGGAACATACAGAAGCCAGGGATGAATTTGTTTGGGTACTTACCAGTTAGTCTCTGGTGTGTGTGCATGTTCCTGGGGGCAAACAGTAGCATGTGCTGTGGCTGAAGCTGTGGGAGTGCTGGCATCAAACTGCGACTATAAACACGGCTGCGCCCCTTCCTTCTGTCCATGGTCTTTTGTGTAAAGCGTGTCTTGGTGTGGTGTGACTCTGCCTCCTGGGCAGCAAAGCAGCTGTGTAAGAGCTGGTCTGTAACATCTGCCGTCTTCCATTTCAGGCCCAAATTGACCATTATCTGGGACTCGTGAACAAGAATGTCAAAGATGCAATGGCTAAGTGAGTTGGCGTTTGGTTTTGTTTGGGGTTTTTTGGGGTTTTTTTTTTTTGTGGTAGGTTTTTTTTTTAAGATAATTTATTTCACTTTATAAAGAACAGTTACAGTTCTTGGTATGTGTGGTGCTCCTGTATATAACACATTACGTGCACTAGTCCTAAGAGGAAAAAGTCCCTTGTTTAAATTTGGAATGCTTATGAAATAGGCTTCTTTCTTGCTGATGCTGTTAAGTTAATCCTATATTATTTCTAATAGAAATCTGTGTATTTGAAACCATTAGTGAAACCTGAGGCCCTCAGCAGTTGCAGTTGAGGGGTGAATGAAGAAGAATTTGGCAGTTTCATTGATTTCTGAGTGTAATAGCTTTGTGTTGCTATGATAATTACCTTCACATTACTGTTTTTAAGACTATGTTTACACCTACTTTTTTTGTTGTTCGTTACTCAAATGCTGTTCTTTTTCCTTTCCTGTTCCTCTTGTAGGATCCAAGCAAAGATCCCTGGGTTGAAGCGCAAAACTGAGTAAAAAGCCTGAAGCAACTTATCGATAGGAAGTTCATCTTTTAAGGGGGAAAAAAAATACTCATTTGGATTTACATGGGGAGGGTCAGGGAATAGCAAACCCCTTGACATTGCAGTGCAATTTCACAGATCTTTATTTTTTAGCAACGCAGTGTTTGAGGAAGAATAACTGTTTTGACTGCCATGTGTTTCATCATCTTAAGTATTGTAAGCTGCTATGTATGGATCTAAAACTAATCATCTTTCTTTATCCTGTGTGCAGCACTGGCTAATACAAAAGATTTGAGAAAGCTGTACATTTTGCTTCATCAGAGGTAGTCCCTGCTGCGTTCCAGAAGAGGTAGTGCAGGTGGAGCGGAGGATAACACTTCCCAGTTTGTGCACTGTGTATGGTCTGTGTAGATTGATGCCGATTTTCTAAAATGAGATGTTTTAGAAGAATATACCATTTTAGCAAGTTTTGAAAAATCTTGCCTTTTTGGTATGAGTATAGCTGTATTGTGATTTTATTGTTTTTTCAATTGCCAATATATATATATATATATGTGTTTCACAAAGCTTAGATCTTTCAGCTGCTCCACAGTGCTTCATACCTTCAGAGAATTGACAATTTCTGGACTAGCTCCATAGCACACAAGCTTGAAAAACTAAAATGTCTCTGTAAACACTAGCATCTGTTTAAAAAAAACAAAAGCAAAAACAAAGGAGAAATGAACAAAGGAAGCTCCACGTATATTAAAAGAAAATTACAGCATACACTTTGTTGCACAAACGTACAGTAGTTGATTTTGAGCAAATAATTTTACAGTCTCTCAAACTCTGATAATCTGTGGACCGAATATCTAATGCTGCAAATGTTGTTTGGAAACTTAAAACCTTGTTATGCAAGAAATGATAAATGAAAATTTATACACTTGCAGTTTAAGCTGTATTGAACTAAGTCTGTGGAATGCATTGTGAAATGTAAAAAAAAAAAAAAAAAAAAAAAAATCCAACAAAAACCCCAAGTATCAATAAAGCTTATAGACATAAAATAATATCGGTATTCTGCTTTCTTGAGGCAAGTTTAATATATTTGTGTTTATTTTGTTTAAGTTCATCGTGATTAAATATCCATTGTACATGGTGGTGGAAATAGTTTGTCAGACGTATAGCAATGTGAGTAGATGGATTTTTCATGATACCTTTTCCTTTCATATGTGCAGTGCGAAGCAGTTTGTTCAGTTCCAGTTCCAGATTTGATGTCCCGCATAGCTGTGTCAGCCGGTGATGCTCAGTTCGGCGTGTAGTTGTTGTAGCGCAGATCCTTGCCTGCAGCGAGGAGGCCTCTGAGCTGAATACTGAAGGCTCCTGTTGTTACCACTGCCAGCTGCGCCGACAGCTCGGTGAGACAGGGGTGACGGTGTCAGACGCCACTTCAGTGTTGGGAGTTGGTTGTTGAACATTGTGACAGATGAAATTTTAGATTCTGCTAAACAAAGTGAAGCTCCTTGGTGTCTTTCATCTTTGAGACAGTAATGTATGATGCCATATTCTAGTTCAAAGGAAATTGTAACGCAAGTCCCAGTAATGTTTTCAGATCAACTTGTTGAATCTGATTTAAGAGCTGGACATTGAAAACTTGTATCCAAATTTATTTGAGAGACAGATTTTAAATTAATGGCATCTTGACCATTGAAAAATAAATTCATGCACTAGTATTTTAGTTTACAGTATAATACATCATTACTTCTGAACATTTTATACATGAAGCCAAACCATATAAACATACAAATTTTAAGTGTTTTCCTGACAGACACTATTGCTTTAAGATATGTTTCACATCACCATTTATTAATGCATTCTGCCACGCAACTGGTTTTATTTGGGATACAATCAATGTGAAAGGAAGGCAAACATTATTACAACATAGGCAAAGAAGGTGCTTACTGACATCACCACCTAACATGATTACATTACTTGATCAAGAAGGTTTCTTTAAAAAAAAGACTGCATAGGGACTCTTGTTATGTATCTGACAAACTGATCTTCTGTATAGTAATATAAGGCATTAATAAATTCAATTTTAAAAAAAGGTGATTCTTTGAGGTTGCTGAAGCACTTTTGTGTGTTAAATGTACATTGATCCACTCCTTTAACTGGCTATTTGTTGCATCCAACAGCTACCTTTTTATGCGGTGAGCGTTAGAAGTGGATTGGCAGGAAGTTTCCACAGTTCAAAATGACAGTGTTCCTGAACTGCGACTAAAGCACTAATTAACGTTTCTTTTCAAAGGCTAAATGTAAGTTTAAATGTTTTATTTAGGCCTTTGTTTCTTTTGATTAACAAACAGTCTTTTTAAAAGCAAGGTAATTTCAAAACATGGATGTTGTTCCATGCCAGAAATCTCTAAAGTCATTTGTTTTGACCTTGCCCACATTTTCTGTTCATTTTTAAACAGTTTCATTGGAAAAAGTTGAACTTACTTTTCTTTCTCCAATTCCACTGTCCCTATAGTTTTTGGGGTTTTGACAAAATGTTCATTAACAATTGTTGAACAGCTTCACTTGCCTTTTGTGAACATCTGCTCATGGTCTCCACTTCCACACGGAGGCAACTTTCTTCATCTCAGCTGCCTGCTGTCTTCCTGCCCTGCAGCCCAGTCACAGACGATGGGGCTGCACGAGAAGCAATGATGGGGAGAGGATTCCAAATTTAGTAAAAAATTATGCTTTTCTTGAGGATAGGTAAATTTTCTACTATCAGAGTGATGTAATTTCTATTCATAAGCAGCATGGGACTAGCTGCCTGCTGGAGGGTATGCCCAGTCCGCACTGCTGATGTATCAGGTGTTCCTAGAGATCACTTTGGATGTCATCAGGAAGCCCCTCCAGAATGGGAAGAACGGGAAATTGTGATGTGGGAGGCTTTCAGACCACTTCTTAAATACACTAGATGGCCACTGCCTGTGGACATAGTTACCGATAAAGCCCATTTTCCCATAAACAGGGAGAGTGCAGGTTTTTTTAGGAATGCTTGGGGAATTACTTCATTATTATAAATTATTATAAATACCTGATTATTTGTGTTAAAATGTCTTTATCCAAGTCTCTCTCTCCCCTTCTACTCACCATTTAAGCTTCAAATTCTGGCTGCAGTCAAGCTACCATCACAAACCAATTGTGAACAGTTTATCAAGAGGTGTAATGCCGTCAGGAATTTGTCCTTACCACAGCACGTAGCTTCTTGCTCTCAGAAATATTTTGGAATTCAGTTGTGAAGGTATTAAAAACCAAAGCGAAAAACAGGGATAATGTAAGTACACATCTGGAAAAGGTGTTAATGGTTAGCCCTCCTCTCTGTGAAAGTTATAGCACCGTATGTTGAAAGCAATTGGTGGGAGGCAAGACTGTAGCCCATACCACTGGAAAATTATTCAAAGGCACTTCATGGATAGAAAATTTTGCCAAATACATATATTTAAAAATAAAATGGATTTAAAAAATGATATTTTGCTCCTTCGATTACTGAAAGCTGAAGTGTGAACCCCAGCATGCTCATTAAAAGCTTGCAGTTTTACTCAGTGCACCAAATTTGCGTTTTAAGCAGGTGTGGTTAAAAATCACCAGCTTTCTTGGACAAATGTTCAAGCCATAAATTTTGAAATTATGCAAATTAAAGGGCCCAGCATTTTCTTAGTGTGCTCCCTTTTCAGACATGGTTTGACTAACACAGTATTAGGCAAAAGCAGCTTTGAGTGAACTGTTCATCACTTTGGCCTACCCAGGTTACAAAACGATTCCCTTTCAAACTTCAGCTTCCTTCTCAAGGATATTGGTCTTTCAAATGCAAGATCACATTCACGTTCAGTAAATTCATATGAGTAATCTGAAAATGTGTAATCCGTGCAGCATCGTATGGAAATTACAGCAGCCAAAGGGGTAGAGGCATTCATGGCTCATCCAGAGCAGTCACTTGGTGGTGGCAGTAACAGCAGCAAGAGAGTCTCCTTTCAAAGACATCGCCATACAAATACGCTACAAAGAAATTAATTGAGACCATAGTTAATTTTACTGAGCAACTTTGTATGATATGCTGAAGGTTGTCATCAAGAGGCTCCGTTAAATACATACATGGCTATAAATGCAGGTGTACCAGCAAGATGCCAGGTAAAGCAATGTTAAGCCCTGGAGTTACTCAACAAATACCGGGCACTCGAATGCAGTTCCTTTTCTCAGGAGAGAGTTAAAGCATTCTAACTAGCGTGTGTGTGACTAGTGAAGGCCTAGAGGTTGAGAATGCTATTATTGTACTCCGTATACTTACTTACACTTTAAATCAATAAATTCCCATCATAACTACAATGTCAAAATTAAGACAGCTGATTAGGTTTTCTGAGTTTATGTAACTCCGGCCCGCAGGTTGAGAATTGAGGTATACACAGCCTTTGTTCCTATGGATCCATGTTTTGATCTGACAGAGCTTCCTGCTCTCTGCTGTGCAACCCCTTTTTCAAAGAAAAACACTTCCTTTTTTTTTGCTCCCTTTCTATTTCTTTTTCCCCCAAAGTGGAAAATTAAAACCTTGGGCGGGGGACAGGAGGGGAAGGCTCATCTCATGCGATGGGAGGAGAGTTAAATTCACTGCAGGGTGCTGAACAAACAGAACGTAACACCCGTATCTATACTGCAGGCTTACTGAGGGGAGCCGAGTGTCATGCAACACACATCAGTATTTAGTTTTCTGCTTCTGGAAGAGACATGCAGTCTCATTCACTAGCAAAAATGACTCAAATCTTGCAGTCTCTGGCTTGTATTCTTCCTGCCGAGTAAGCAGTTATAAATACCTGGTTCTTGTCTGCAAGACAAGACACTTGGTCCTGTGAGAATTTGTGCCCTTTCATTTCCTACCTTGTTGCTTTTCAGTTTTTCTAGTTCTACATTTTGCTGTTTAAAAACTCTCTTACAGTTCATGTTTAACCACATTTAGTTTTTGTTCCTCACCTTTCTGCTCCCTGTTTTGCTTGACAGTAAGTAAGTGTCCTCTCTCAGCAGTACTGGAAGCTCAAATAGAGTTGGGGAGGGATCCAGCAGCAATCATGTGTGTGCACACACACACAGGCTGTCCAAAAAAGAACTATCTTTTTTTATTTAGGGAAAAAAAAGTGCCACAAAAACACCCCAACACAAACTTAAGGCACCTTTTGAGAAGCCTCCTGGTATTGGAAATGTCTTTCTAAATCTGTCTATCCTCCATCAGCCAGAATTCCTGTCCTACCCTTTGCTGGGCTGGAGCTCTTCAGTTATTTTTGTGTGACTGACACCCTCACCAGCTGTCTTTGATCTAAATGTTCTTCAGATACACGAGTGGTTCCTGTGCCAGCAGCCGGGCCTCCTTCAGCTGCCTCTTGGGGCCCACAGTCTCAGAGGTGGGTGCTGGCCCACGCGGCAACAGGTAAGGGCTGCCTCCTCTGCCCTCTCAGGGAGGAAGGCCAGCCAAGGAGCTATGAAACACACAGAAACCCAAACGCAAGATGTTTTACCCAGTAGACGTGACCTTGTGAATGGCGCCAAGGTGGCAGGGGTAAATCAGGTGACCATAAAATACAGCAAGAAAAGTAGTAAGGTAAGAAAACCAAGCTAAAACTATCCCATCAGCAGGCTTCAATGAATGCAGAGTGGGCCGAGAAAGGTGTTAAGTGCCTTGCTGTGGGTTTGGTGTAGAAGGGTGCAAAGTTTTTGATCGTCAAAAGTAAATAAGCAGTTACCTGCAGTCATCTCCTCCTGTACTTATAACGTACTTGTCATCATGAGAAAAACGTATGTTGGTGACATGTGCAGAGTGTCCAAAATACCGCTTGTGTTTGGCCTATTGAAAAAAGAACAGAAGTTCAGGAACTAGTGCTGTACCGCAACATTAGACTGACAAAATTGCCTTGTGAGTGTAGACAAAACCACATCCCCAGCAGTACTGGCTTCTTCAAGCCCACAGTAATCTGAGCTCA